TTCTATTCATATATTGTCACCTGTACAAACAATTTTCAAATAATGTACATATATAAATATCATGTGGTACTTTTCGTACTTTATCTTGAATAGCCATTCCTTCTTTGATAACGATAGGAAAATTTCACTATTATTAAAATAATAGCGATAGAGATTGTTATTTGTTTTCTATTCAGGATTTCGTTATCTTGTAATGCAAAATGATGTACGGCTGAATAAAAAGCCTTTGTAATTTCACCAATTTCATCCATCTAGAATTAAAATAAGGGTTTTTAAAGTTAAAAAGAGTATTCTATGTACTATACGTACATACTTACTTGTTAGTGTGACAACGTACGTACGTACGTACTTTCTTACTCATTTACTTACTTACTTACTTACTGTATGAATGTATTTATATCAAATATGCGTACATGATAAAAAGGTCTATAAAAATTCTAGTGTTATCAATAGATGATAGGAAAAATAGTAACTTTGATAATAATTTTTGATCTCATATCTTAATATATATATTTGCTACAATATTGTACAGTATCAGTATTGATAACTAAGAGAAAAAGCTTTATTTGTTTAAGTATATTACGTAATTTTAAACTTTTTTTCAGATAGATATGATAGCAATCTTTTTTTTTTTGAATTAATTAATACTTGATTTACTATAAAAATTTTTTTAAAGATAATCTTAACTTTAAAACGCGTATTGAATTATATATTAAAAAAAATTATACGTATTAAAAATTAGAAATTTATAACCTAAATTATAAACTATGTTGAACAAGTTTTACTTAATAATATATAAAATTGTATACAATTACAAAGTTTAATTCATTTTAACTTTATATTACTGTATCTATTATTAATAACAAAAATGCATTTAATCTATTGTTAATTTACGTACTAACCTATTATATTCTATTATATTTTTTCGTGTGGTTTTTATAGTACTACTATTGCTAATACTGCTAATACTGCTAATACGCAAGAAAAAACATTTAGTACATTTATAAATATGCATATAATACTGTAATACATATTTACTATTGTTATAATACTGTTTCTAATAGTAAATTACATGATGACACATTTTCTGATAATAATATATGCAGTGGAAATTAAATGCATTGAACGAACATGTTAAATAAGAGCTTTAGTAAGTGATACGTGTCACAATAATTGAACTATATGATCACGCGTTAAGTTCGCGCGAAACCCATATTATTTCCATATTATTTAAAAAAAAAACAATAATTACTTCGCACTAAAAGAAAAACACCCTTTTTAAATTTTATTTTTGTTTGTAATAAAGAAAAAAAAAACACTGATTCGATTCTGTGAAAAAAAAAAAAAAAAAATTTATCGTTTTCGTATCTAACACAAATATCACCTCTCAAAGGTAATAAAAAATATATAAAAGCGAAAAAACCTCGTATATCTTATTAGTAAAAACGCGCAAATATTAATGGTCAATGAGAATTTAAATTAGTATCGACCATCTTTTTTATATTTTAAATAGTCTAAATATAATTCTCGATAAAAATAAAAAATCAAGAAAATTAAGCATTAATACACGTATAATGCATGTAAATGTTTTTTTTTTTTTTTGATTCTTGAATTGTATTTTTTTGTGCATATATAAAAATATAAACACGAAACTTAATGTGAGGAAAGAGTCTATAATGTGTAATATTTTTTTGTTTTTAAGCAAAAGGTATGAAGAAAAAAATTTTTTTGTTTTTTTTTTTTTTGCATAATGTTTGATTCTTTTTTTAAAAAAAAAATCGAATTTAACGCTAATTCTGTAATTAACGTTAATCTATTTTTTTAACGAAAAACGAAAAAGTTTTTTTTTTAAAAAAAAAAAAGATCGCTCGAATAGCGAAAGTCTTTTTTTTTTTGATTATCATTCGGTATCTTCTCTTGAACGCCATTTCATAACGTTCCATAAACCGTAGATTAATTCAGCTTGTTTACGCGCTTCAACGGCAATAAGGTTTACGTGGCATTTATCTTCGGAACTAAATTCAAATCCCATATCTGACCAATCGTCAATAGTAATATCTTCTGGTGTACAACACAATTTCCTTATATATGATTGAAATTTATTATTGAGTAAATAATCAAGGTCCTCATAAGAATAATCATCTTTGAACAGTCCGAATAAACGTAACACGTAAAACCAGATTGCTTGTCGAAATGGTAGTGTATCTAAGTCGGTATTTGATTTTGTGTATGAACGGAATAAACTAAAAAAAAAAAATAATAATAAATCAATTTTTAAATTTCTGAATTTCTGAATTTCGTGTAATGATTAAATATCTATATATTTATTTATTGTGAATTTTATTTACCTATAATCTGTAAGATCTCGAATTTCAGTAAATTCTTGATCCAAGAGCTCACCTACACCCGGTAAAGGATTGCTCACCATCTCTACACCATGATCTTCCCAACAATATTCTTGAAGTTTAAATAAAGAATTTTCTATGGGAAAATCAGAATAAGGTGTTTCAACGATAGGATCAAGAAAAATAGAAAAGTCTTCTGTGTCATGAGCGCCTGGAGGCGGTATTGTGATGTTATTTTTCATGAAACTGGTTGTTGTTTCTGTCTCATCACGTGATAATGAAGTGGTGGTAACGTTTGGCGCTATTTTATTAACATAAAAAATTGAATACGCTAAATGAATAAACGAATGATTAATTACTCTTACTTTATCTTTACTCACTTTCTTCAACTTCGGGGTTTTCATCATCTTTTGATTCTTCTTCTTCTTCATTAATAGACGCAGAACTCTCGCGTTTACTTTTCAACCTTTCTATTAATTGACTAGTATCTAAAGTATTTTCATCACCAGTAATAGAGGACCGATTATTTTGAGTAGGTAATGAATGTTCATCATTATTGGATTTTAAATCAGAATTTGTTTTAGCAGATAAATCCGGTATAACTACACCTAAACCAGCAGCTACATCAGGACGAATTTTTTCAGTTGAATCCAAAATTCCATAAGAAGAAAATTCAGAATCATCACATCCAAATAAATTTGGATTAAATTCTGATGGCATATAATTTCCACCTTTTGTATCATATTCAGGTACAATACCACATCCCATAACAAAACTACTTAAACTATGAAAAGTTGCGAGAACTAAAATTACATGAATTACATCGGAACGTTTCCAATAACCATTAGGATTATTTGCACATTTTATAAGTTCATCAATATGACTTGGTCTAAGATCCCATGGTTTATGAGCCAAGATAGAATTCAATCTAGCTAAACTTTTTATTTTTTCCGATGCATATTGTAAACCTTCAAGCCATCGTGCATCACCATTTTGATTTATAAAATCATGTTTGAATAGTGATACAAGGTATTGACATTTGTGCTGAGATGCAGCCTGTTTTAAAAATAAAAGAGGTAATAAGAGAGAAAATAAGAGAAGAAATATAAGATGAGAAAATATAAAATAAGATTTTGAGAAAAAAAATAAAAGAAACAATAAATAACAAAATATGAAAACAAATAATAATAGTAATAATAATGATAAATAATAAATTAAAATATAAAATAAAAGAAAGAAAAAAAAAAAAAAAGAATTAAAATATAGAATAAAAGACAATAAAGTCAAATAAATAAAAAAAGGAAAAATAAATACCATTATTCCAATATATAATCGTTCATCAACTTTTACAGGACCACTAACATCTTCAACAATTTTACAAAAGGAAGCTTGATATTTTTCCATAAAATTTGGAAAATAAGACAAAATTCTATGTAAATGACTTATTCTTCCAACGCTAGAAAAAGTTTCAAGAATTAAACGTCTAACAGGTTCATCAGGCTGTCTCCCTACAAAAGTATTTGGAGATGATGTCGACGATATGTTAGAGGATGATATTCGATCGTCCGATGGTGGTTGTAATGGCGTTGATGGAGTAGTTGAGAAAGGAGAATATTGTTCATTTGACCATTTAAGAGTCAATATCTCCTCAGCAGGTATAAAATACGAAGGATACGGATAAATTGGTGCCGGTACCTGTACACCCATCGCCTTATTAAAACGTGTAAAAAAGTAATAACAAATTTTTTTTTGTTAAAAATCAATTTTATTATTATTATTAATTATTTTTAAAAAATTCATTTCAAATATTTCATTAACAAATTTTTTTTTTTTTTCTTTATTATTAAGAAACTGTATTTATGAATTATTTTTGGTGGTTATTGCTTGGGTAATGTGTGTTAATCGTTATGTTATGTGTTAATCGTTATACGTTAATCGTTTGTTAATCGTTAATGTTGTTAATCGTTATGTTAATCGTATATGATCATTACGTGTTAATCCAGTAATCGTTATCATTATAAAACAACACATCATATCTTCGATCTTGCAAGGTTATCATTCGCAGAATTGTTTTTGTTTTTTTTTTAGATTTTTTTTTTTTCTTTTTTTTTGCTTTTTTTTTTTTTTTTGTGATTTCTTTCTTTCTTTTTTTTTTTTTGCGTAGACATCGTATGATATCAAGAATAAATACGATAAACATCAAACGATAAGCAAAAAAAAAGAAAAGATTTGATGAAATTTTTTTTTTTTTCGTGAGTTGGGTTGGAAACGTCACACTGAATAAAATAATGAATAATTAAGAATGATTGTATGTTGAAAGATTCAAACCGCTAAGCAACAAAAAAAAAAAATAAAATAAAAATAAAAATAAAAAAAAAAATAAAAAAAAATAAAGAAAATAATAAAAATTATAAAATATTTAAAAGAAAAAAAAAGAAAAAACAATGACTTACTTTGGAGCTACTTTAAAAGCCCGTTCTAAGAAGACAAATCACGCAAGTTATATGATATCGACTTGATCGATATACTTAAATGTCTTACGCACGTGAACAACGCTTACACGTGACAAAGGAGAAAAGCAAATTTTTTTTTTTGTAGCGCAGGAAAAAAAAAGGTTTCTTTTTTGTCATCACAAGCATACCACCAAAAAAATAAATTTACAAAAGAACTAAAAAGGTCACAATAGGAAAATGTAAAAAAAAAGCTTACCCATAAGTCTATCAAAAATTTTCTAAAAGTTCGACGAACATCATCAAAGGGACAGTCAATAGACATACGTAAAATAGTGTAAATATGATGTTTAAGAGCCTTTTCGGTATTTCCATCATAATTATCTTGATCTATAGAGCATCTTCGAGGAATACTATCAGTTCTTAGAGCTGAAGAATTATTTGGACTGTCTTTAGACATAAAAATATCATCAGAGAGGAGGGTATCGGAAGAAGCAAGGTCACCAGAGAGAACAGTAGCAAGATTAATAATACTAGTAACATTACCACCAGCACTGGGAGAAACAGCGTACGAAGAAACCGAACCCGAAGGAGTATCATCAGTGAATATGGGAGAAGAAGTCAAAGAAGCAGGATGATTTACCGTAATACTACCATCAGACACCGAAGACCTTTTAGAAGTAGCACAAGGTGGAGAAGGTTCTTGAGATTCAGAAGAAAAATCAGATGAATAACAATCTTTTGCCCAATTCTTTACAACGTCAATAATTCTATCCAATTGTTTTGTACGTTCATTTTGGTTATCACTTAATAAAGGTCGAAATAATACAGTTTGAAACCGAGAAACGGTCAAATCCATTATAATTTTTTGATTATCATCATCTGAAGGTAAAGTTGAAGTGTGGTCGGGAGCATATATAGACATTATGAAAATAAGGTAAAAAATTTTTTAAATTTATAAAAAAAAAATTTATAAAAATAAAAAAAATCAGACCCAATAATGATATAATGATTTGTGAGGGAGGGAAAAGGTGGAATTTTTTTTTTAAAAAAAAAGAAATTTTTTTTCTTTTTTTTTTTTTTGAATAATGATGGAAAGAAAAAAAAAAAAAAAATAGTATAAAAAAGGTTGAAATGAGACGATAAAAAAAAAAAAAAAGAAGGAACCAAAAAAAAAATTAACGAGAAGAATAATGAAAAGAATAACGAGAAGAATTAAAAGGGAAAAGAATGGAAACGCCAAAGGATAAAAAAGTAGAAAATCGCAAGTTTATCCTTTACAGCAGAGGTATACGAAAAGACAACTTGCAAGAAATGATACCATTCAAAAAAAGAAAAGTATTTATAATTTTTTTTTTATAGGGTAAGTTATTATAAAGTTTAAAAGAAATGTGTGACAACAAATACAAATCCGGCACAAAGCAAGTATGTAGAAAATCCTGAAATCACAAAAAAAACTAACGTAATTATGCAAAAGAACGGCGGGAGTTTCAAGTTTCTTGATTTTATAGTTGCTTCGAGAAAAAAAGAAGAAAGAAGATCAATTACTCAAGTTTAAATAAAAATTTGCAAAATAAAAAATTAAATACATGGTATAAATAGTGACTACATGATGACCAGATAATTTTAAGAATAATATATATAAATACGTAATTAAATATGAAGTAATGACTGTATATAATAAAGTAATAAAGTAATAATAGTTATAATCGTATGATAGTAGCAGTATAATAGTTGCGGTAATAGATTATTGCAATATGGTAATGGCGGTAATATAAAAATATAATATATAGTAGGAGAAGTATGAGTAAGTATGAATAAGTATGATGGTAGAAATATAATAACAGTAATAACGGTAATAAAAGTAATAACGGTAATAAAAGTAATAAAATTAATAAAAGTAATAAATAAAAGTAATTAAAGGTAATTAATAACAGTAGTCGAAATAAAATAACAGTAATATATATTTATGTGTATATAACTTAATAATAACAATAATGTAGAATTCTAATAAATAGTAATACAGTATATATATTGAAATAAGAATTGACGTTAAGGTAACTGTAACAGTTAATGTCAGCAAAAAAGTGATCGTGTTGTATGTATAACGATAAATAAAATTCATGTGGATACGTATTAGTTAGTGAAATTAGTAAATTTAGTAAAAAATTTGTAAAATTAATAAAAAAAAAATTAGTAAAATTAGTGAGATTAGTGGAAATTAATGTAACAATTTATACTGCGTGAAAAGTATCACGATGTTTGTGTAAGTAAAAATAAAAATGATTATTTAGTTTAGTCTAAAAAACGAGTAATTCACTTATTTTCAAATTCAGATGACCAAGAAAGGATCTTGGGCTTTGTGGGGAAAGACACAAAATAACCATTGAATATTTTGTTTATAAATTTTATAACAGGTAACGTTTTTTATTACTGTATAATAAAGAAAGAAAGTTAAGATGTTAAAAAAAAATTATGTACGTACGTACGAACGTATGCCGGGTACAGTACTCTAGTATCAGTATGTATGTAGGTACGTACATACGTACGTAGAATCGTAGAACATCAATAATAGCAATATTAGCAATAGTAATGTAGTAGAATACAAAAATACAAGAATACAAGAATACAAGCATAAGCATAAATAAATGAATCGGTAATCGATTGCAAAGTTGTGAAAGAGCAAGCACATACATAACAGATAAATACATAAAATTTTTAATAATAAACAAAAACGAATAAACAACGACGATATAAATAAATAAACAATTTACATAATTTACGTACAGAAATAACTTAATAAAACTTGATAATAAATCTAAAAAGAAGAGGAATCAAATGATCATTTGAACCATTTAAGGTGATGTCTATTGTAATGTTCCACGTGTACCACATATAAGACCATCCAAAAACTCAATACAGGAATTCTTGTGTTTCACAATTTTTGATTCTTCGGAAAAAAAATATACTACGTAATGTACGTAATGTGAAATTTTTTTTTTTTTTTTCAAGATTGAATGAATGGTAAGAATGAATATAGCTTATTCATGCAAAGTTATGCATTATGACGAATATGTGCTTTGCTGTTTCCCACATAGAGTAGCGCAAAGACGCCCTCAAATGATTTTAGGATAACGAATCTTTTAAAATGACATATATAAAAAACATTTGTGGAAGTTATTTCGAATTAAAGGGAATAATGCTGTAAAACTAACCATTTGCAGAAATTCATGTTTCAAGTTGGATCGGTTACCTAATTGCCACGACTCGCACTTACCCGATGCGTAACGTTCCATCGTAATGTTTCGATAGCGCGATTGTAATAAAGAAAAAGCACGTAAAGTTATGTTTGTTCCGATTCATCAATTAATCTATTATATTTTGCGTACGATGACGTAAAGAGAAATAAAAAAATTACTCCGAATTTCAACTGTCAATTTTTACTTTCATTATTGTGTTCTTGATTCGTTTTAGTTTGATCATCAATAAAAAAAAGTGAAAAAAGTAAGTTGGCGGAATTGACGAAATTTGGCAGAATCGGCAGAAAAAAAAATTGTGAACGAATGAGGGATTAAAGTCAGCGATCTTTCTGTAATTCGTTAATTATAGTGTTTTAATTATAGATGTTTTACCCATAATTTGTCTAGAATAGCTAGAATAGCTAGAATAGGATGGTTAGACAAAGTAACTCGTATTATACCTATGATACAATATTATACATCTATGAAATACATGTTTAGGGATATGCGTATTCTTGTTTTACGCGTTATTTTATCCAGCATTTTAAATATTTCATCAAACAATCATGTAATCATGTAGTTCTGTAGTTAATGTTTTTAAATCATTTCATTTACAGTATAATAATAATGATGTATCTAATATTTAATTACTGTATACTTATTAATTATAATAATTTATCAATTATAATATTATTGTTATTATTATGTAGTTAACATTCATTTCATCTACCCATTTAATAATAATTAACCTACTTTAATAAATTCTTTTAAGACGTTTTTACTGTTTCACAGCAATTACCGCGCTTTTAATCCAATTTTTCTAAATGCATTTTTTCTAAAATATATATATATTTTTTAAAATGTATTTTTTAAAATGTACTTTTTAAAATGTATTTTTTAAAATGTATTTTTTAAAATGTATTTTTTAAAGTGTTTTTTAGTGTTTTTTAAAAGTTATAATTTTTTTTATAGTGTATTTTAGAATATATATATATATATATTAGAATGCATTTAGATGGTACTTTAAAGATAAACAAATAATCATGTCGTAATACACATTATTTCTAGTGATTTCAGCAACATTTCAAGAATTTCAGGATTTCAAGATTTCAAAATTTCCATATATTTACAGGTCCCATCCTCTGCAAAGAAAAATCCCGTTGATCAATACTATCTACAGCTTAATTAAGGGAATCATCTTTTAAGCTGCACTTATCCGCGTATGAACGAAATGGATTACTTGCATCCATTGAGAAATTAAGAATTTTTTCACTTTGTAATATCAATTTATCCTTATTAATTGTTTATAACAAGTATTTTACCACGTAATCATAAAAAGAAGCCGGATTTTTCGTCCAACATGGTTACAACGTTTCTTTTTTCTTCTTTTTAATGCAAACTTTAAATCTTCTAAATAATCCAATGATCATGAGATATATCTTTATAATCAAATATATATAAATTTATATACATACTTATATATATATTTATTTATTTATATATATAATATACTTTATATATACACAATATATGTATCGGTATATACAGTATACAGTACACATATACATAGATATATACATAGATATATACACAGATATATATACATACATATATACACAGATATATACATATATATATATATATATATATATATAGTACACATATACATATACATATGTTTATGTATACTCTGCGCATGGTTTGACATTATATGTTGAACATGGGTTATCATGGTTTAACTAGGAAATTTAATACCAATTGATCATTGGAACTACCCCACGAAACTTTAAAGTAAATTGTAACATGTACCC